TATGAAATTTTGGGGCGTTACATCGGCCACTGGAGAGCGCGATATAGAGCACAATATAGCGTAGGGTACAAACCCTTCTCCTGCCCATTTACCGTTTCGATCCGCCATTGCTACTCAGTGGAGGTCATGGTTGCGTGAAAATGGAGAAATATTGCGTTGCGTGTGAAAATGGAGAAATATTGCAGCGGAGGTGATGTTTGAATGAAAAAAATGAAGTCATGGAAGGCATTGAGTGAATGTTCTGAAACCACAGCACACTTTCAAATGGCTCGGTTGACTCGACGCTGCTCGGTGTTGAATGGCCATACGACTTATAAACAGTGAAAAACAAAGTGGCTCTTTTATATAGTAGTGACAAGTAAAAATAAGAATATTTAAAGAAAACTTGAAAATGTCATTTTCACAATGATGGTAAAGAAAACCCTATGGATTTGTTTGAATTTTTTTTTTTGGGAGAAATAGATTTGAAATAATGATTTTTTTGAAGAATTTGAATAAAAAGTAAGATTTTTTTTTTGAATTTATATATAAATAATTTTATTAAAAGAATGTTTAATTAAAATAGGGGTTGAAAAAAAAATATTTCAAAGAACAAGTTGAAACAGGGGGGTTCTTTTAAAAATAATCTAGTCAAAGCCCCATAATTTCATTTTGACTTTTTTACTTAACAATATTTTCGAAATGACCAATTTACTGTAAAAAGACAAAAACGCCCTTAAGTGACCAAAACAATTACAAAACATGTTTGTGTTAAAAAAAGACAATACTACCCTTTTAGTTAACAAATAATACTACTGTTACGAAAAAAATAATCAGCTACAGCCGAAAAGTCGGCTGTGAAGCTGAGGCTGCTTGAGTATTTTTATCATAACGTTTGTTTCCGATATCCAATGAAACCGATTTAAAATACTTTGGAAAGATAACTCAAACGGCTACAACTTTGTTAGAAATAGCTCTTTTTCAATTCAAATGTTTACTAGGCCAAAATGGATTTCAATCTCCAACTAAAAATTTGAACGTCCTTGTGCAATGGAAAATTGATTTGTTTTTCACTCCTTTTGATCTTTAGTTATATCCATTTGACCCTTAACATTCTCGAATCTTCATTGTGAGTTTCGACACAACTTTTGATGATTTATTTAATGATATTAGTAATTATCAAATTAAAATTAATTATTTAATTATATAAAATTTTTTAGATTACGTAAAATATTTAA